GTTGCTCAGTTCCTTGATTTAGTCAGGATTGTTGGTTTTTGTCAGATAGATTTTAATATCTAGACCTCATATGTATTGAGTTCTGACATGAAAGGAGAGGAAGGTCTGATCCCCTTGCTTCATATGATACTTTGGGTTTCAGATGGGCTCAGTGACCTATTTAAACAGTCCAGGAGTCTTCATGAATCTTCTGCAGTGTTGCTATTACTCAAAGGGCCATCTATCCTAGGGAACTCTATGTAACCATGTGAAGGAACCTTATAGAAGACTGTTTAATGATATATTAGATATGTAGGGGAAAGGGAAATATATAATGATACAAATGAAAATATTTTTAAACTAGTAGTCAGAGTATAGATAACTGGTCCTTTTTTTCTCTTTTCCATATTCTTATATTTTTATATAATGTACATTATTTGAGGGAACAACCAGTCCCTCACTTCTCTAGGAGGGGGCTTCCATGACTAGAGTAACTTCCCAGACTTTCTGATCCCTACTTGCTTCTTCTCCAGGTAGATGGAGGAATAAATCACTTGCTTAGAGAATGGTAATGGTATGAATTTCCATGATTCATGCATTTTGACTCACTGGAACTGACCATTAGAAAGCTAGAAGCACTTGGTGGGCATTCTCCCTCCCGCCTATCATCGATAATGTCTGCCCCCCAGACCCAAATCTCCCTCTGGTGATCTGTGCCAAGGTTTAGACTTGCTAGGGATGATAATAGTGAGCCCATTTGACTATAGACCTAAACCACATTCTTCCCTCAACTTACCAGCAATAAAGCTGAGACTTTTTGATCTCCATCCGTTTGACTCCTATGTTTTATTCTTTAGTTTTCCCCAAACCCCAATAAATACATAGTACATTTGTTGTAAAAAAGAAACATGTTGTTTTAAAATTGTAGGCTGCTTTGTGTGCAAATAATATTAATAGGTACCCATTATTAAGCATCAACCTTGTTAATTGCATTATTGCATCATCTCAGTGAATTTTTACCATAATCTTACAAGGTTGGTTCTATTATTATTTTTCTTGTTTTTTTTAAGAAACAAAAACTAACATTCAGAGAGTTTAAGATTCTGTTCTTCATGGAATATTTATTCCATAATTGTGGATTCAGCCCTGAAGTCTCAGGAAAACCCAAAAGGGAATTTTCTGTCTAGATTTGTAAACCTATTCAGTGAACTATTACAACAGTGGAAACTGAAATGAACTACTGTGCAAACTCCCTTCTCAGGGTCTTACATCTCTTTTTTACTAATAAAGGCCTGTTACCAACAGCTTGCATTCGAGCCAACTTGTATATGCTTGTTTAACTGAAAACTACCACCCAAACTCACCCCAGAGCCAGCTGCAGAAGAGAAGATAACCTCTTTGAAAAAAAACGATCCCCAATCTACAGAGATGATTTTCAATGGCCTACTAGGGGGCATAAGTGACTTTAGATGACAAACACACAGAAACACTTGCTTCAGACATTCAAGCAAGTATGTAACAGCATTTCTCTTGGCTGAGAGAACTGTCAGGGAAGGGGGAAAAATCTAAGCCTTCTGTTAGATTTGGCCAATAGACTGGAGAAACTATGGGAGATTTCTAAAGATTATTGCTATCTATCCAGTTGTTACTAAAAATAAAACTGATGAGTATCTTTTTAGCTGGGAGGCTGGGCAGGAGGTCGCCAGGGTTACCAGACACTAAACTGGAAAAAGGGCGGTGGGCGGGGGGGAGAGAGACATCTATAATAGTGTCAGCCATAAAGAAAAAAGAAAAAAGAAAAAAGCTGCTTAAAGCTGGCTAAATGAGACCATCAAACAATGTTTTAAGAATGATTTTTCTTTAAAATCATGAAGTTTATAGCCTTACAGAAATTATCCTATATGTTTCTAGAGCAACCTTAAATACCTTGCATATTTTTCATTATAAAACCTCAATTTAAAAATTTCTCAATTTGATGCCCGGCTGTGCCCCAGCCAGGGCTGGAACATGCTTTGGTGACGGTGTATGATGTGGTCAATCTGAGCTGAGCCTCTGCTCTCTATGTACGCTTTGTTCTGGCCATCCTATACAGTCTCAGGGTTTTGGCAGTTATCTGTAAGCAGATGACTTCCAAATCTACTTTTCCATCCCTATTTTAAGAATTTCCATTGTCACATTTGTCACTTCTGCTGAGCGTCTCCTTAATTGCAGGTACCTCAATCTCTTTATGGCCAAAACTGAACTCCCAATCTTTTTACAAACCATATGCTTCCTGTGTCACCAAATAGACTGCTCTCCTTTCAGACACGCTCTTGAAAACTTGCATCATCTTTGTGGTGGTTCCTTCTTCCTTAACTCTCATACCGAATGTGTTAGTAGTCCAGCTAGCCAATATCTTTGGACTCCAACCCTCTTTCCTATTCCCACGTCCACTGCCTTAGTTGAAGTCCTGTTTCCCTTCTCCTACATTAGCACTGCAACACAGAGGTGTCCTTGCCACTGTCCTCACTCTACTCTTCCTTATTTACTGCTGCTGTCACAGTCATCTTTACATTGTTCTTCTTCGACCATATCGTTGTCACCCTCAAAAACCTGTGCTGACTCCTTAATGCTTACCCATGGAGTCCAGGTTCCTTAGCACAGTATTCATAGTTGGGTCTCAGCCTTATTTGCTCTTCATATGCTCTGTGCGTTAGCCTGGTATTTCTCAACCTCTTTTTCATTATTGTCCCCCCTAAGGAATCTTCTAGTGATTTTTTTCACAATTACCCCCTCATAAAATGTTAATGTGACCAATATACTACTGTATATCTGTTTATGTAATATACATATGTTTGTGCTCTGTACTTCATATTTAAAAGTAACATGTTTTTACTCTCAAAGAACCAATCTTTGCTCCATTAGAGGAAATATCTTCCCTATTGAGAATGAGTACTCTAGACAAAACAGATCACTTATCAATTCCTGAATATGTCCCTGAATTTTCTAGCTTTCCAGTTTTTGCTCATTTTAGCCATTAGTCAGTGGAGTTGAAAAATAATGAGAAGATTCCTAGTGCATAATTCTGCTGTGCAGTATACTGTTCTCCTTGACTGGAATTAACTCAGCATCTCCTACCACCACCTTCTGCCTCTCCCTGACTTTTCATGTTGCAACCTAAATTCTCTGTCCTCCCCTAATCCACTCTGCTGGAACTAGCTTCTTTCTGTGCTATTAACAGAACTTTCTTTATATCTCTATTATGTTCTTCTTTGTAATGTAGTGATTTTGCTATTTGTGTTCTCTCTCCCACTGTACTGTAAACTTACTAAAGACAAGGACTAACTTCTTCACAGTGTATAATGCCTTCATACAGTGGGCACCAATATAGGTTAGTTGAAATCAATTCACTGATACACTGGAAACAGGATAAAAGCCTACCAGTGCCCACATTTAAAAAGTTCTATATGCATGTTGAATAAATGAACACACTAATGAGTAGGAAAAAAATTGGCATAGCTCTAGCCAGGTGGCTCAGTTGGTTGGAGTGTCATCCCATACACCAAAAGGTTGTGGGTTCGATTCCCAGTCAGGGCACATACCTAGGTTCCAGCTTCCACCCCTGGTAAGGGAGCATATAGGAGGCAACTGATCGATACTTCTCTCTCATATCAGTGCATCTCTCTCTCTTTCTGTCTCTCTGTCCCCTCCCCACCCTTCCTCTCTCTGTAAAATCAATAAACACATCCTCAGGTGAGGATTTAAAAAATGGACATATGCAAGACATACTCCTACACCACCATCATAACACAGACACAATTTATGAAGGAATGTGTGTTGTACAACCTTGGTGAACTAAATTGGTTCCTGCTTCATAGAAATAAGAGACAACCGCTGATAATTATTTGCGTGGCTACCTGCCTAGGCATGTCTTAAATAATGACGATAAAGGTGAGGGGAGGACACAGCAGCCAAAACAAAAATAGCCATTTTTGACATTATGTTTTTGTTACATCACCACTATGTAAGAAGTGACCAAATAAAGGCTATGAGGCAGGAAAGTTGATCTGACCAAGTAATTTTTGTGTGGGAAGTGAAGACAAAAGAAACAATGTTTTCTGGAAAAGGCTTGTTAATTTTTATATATATATATATATATATATATATATATATATATATATACACACACACACACACACACACTATATGAATATGTTTAGAAAGTTCCATCATATCTTGGAATAACACTTTCTAGGAAAACCTATTTCTGTGGTTTCATAGGATTACATTTTGCTTTAGATGGAGGATTTAAATATTTGAAAGTGTCATTTATTACTTCTCAGAAACAGCTTATTAAGATGTTCAAATCGTATAGAAAACTACAAAACAGGTGCTTTCTATTATTCTTTGCTCCAGAGCTTTCTTCTTCTGTTGTTTCTTTTCTGAAGTCTTAGGATGACTTTTGTGGGGCAATCGTGTAGGGGATGTCTGAAGGATGGGGGATGTTCCGAGGATGTGCTAAATTCAGCTCTGGAGCCTGGTGTTCTCACAGAGGTTGTATAAGATCAGCCCTTTCAGGTCTTTCAAACAGGGTAACTAACTTTCATTCAGCCAGTGTAAAGCTCCTACAAGCAATTGGACTTCTTATGGGCCTTTTATTGAAAAGGAAGATTAATCATGAACCTCTTTCCTTTGCAGTCCCATTAGTCAAGCTCAAGTTCTGAGAGCACACAGCTAAAACAAATACTTGGGAGCCAACACTTAAGTCTCAGCCTCAATTAAGAGGAGAATACAGTAGGATTGTTGGTTTAACAAACACTGTAGGAGGTGGGGGAGGAAAAAGGGGAGGGGACGAGGTAGGGCCCGCCTCTTTGGAATGGGATTGGTTCCCTCTCTCTCGCTTTAGTTTTTCCTCTTGCATCTCAGTTGGATTGGTTGAGACGAACTTGTCATTAAGGTGGTGTCAAAATGAGCCCCGTAGGTGTGGGCTCTTCGTTAAGTTTGAGGTTTTAGATTTTCAAAGGCACGGACTTATTGGTTATGGGATCAAGTCTTCTCTGTCTTAAAAAAATGTCATCGTAACAGGAGGCACCAAGAAGCTTAAGTGTAGCTCATAACACAGAGAAAAATGACGAAATTTCCTCAGGGGTTTGATCTCAGTTTCCTAAACGACGAAGAAGCCAGGAAGATCCTTCAGGTGCTGGAAAGAAATGAGGAGCTACAGAGGGCAGAGAAGGACAGGATCAGGTACAAAACAAATTCTTTCTCTCTTCCCTGGGCCTGCGTCCAGCAGTGGCCCGGGCGTGCGGGGAGGGAGCCGGGAGCTTTCATGGGCACCTGTCCGGGGTCCCCGGAGGCGAAACATCCGTCCGGAGTGCACCTGGCCGGGTGAAATATGCAACGAGTTTTTTCCTTAAGGACTCTAGGGTGCCTGGTTGTGCTTTTTCCACACTCAGTATCCCAAGAGGGCTCGCGGGGGAGTCTTAGGTCCCCCAGGGTGGGGCGCGCACCGACCTTCCCTCTGCTGGCGCGTTCTTTGGAGTGTTTCCCTAGGAGTGGTTGTCCCACCCCCACTAGGATACGTGGGTGGGATCCCCTGAGGGGCCGTCCAAGCTGGGTGCGGGCTAGCAGCTCTGCCCTGTTGCCTCCCGGTCCCGTCCGTGGCGGGGCTTGGGCCAGACAGACGGGTAAAATGGGACGAGCGTGCCGGCGTGGAGCGGAGTCTTGGCCCCCGGGCACCCGCGTGCTAACAGTTCCTCCAGATTGTACATCCTCACTGTCCCAGAGACTTTCTCCACCCAACAGTCCAAGAGACTCAGGATAGCTGGCTTCTCATTGGCAGCGAAATGGACCCCACCCCAAGGGCTGGAGCTCCAAGGAACTTGCCAAACTGTGTGGAGTAAAGGGGGCTGGGACTGGGATTGGGGTTGGGCTGCAAAGGGCGGATCTCCTGTCTGGTGGTGCTATGGGAATGTTGCTTCGGAATTTCACCTTGGCCTTACTATGCAGTGTTGTAGTTAACCAGGGGATGAAATCGAGAGCTTACTGCTTGGGAGGTAAATTAACCAGTTTTGGGGGGTTTTTTTCTGCTGGGGAAGTGTGGTTAAATCCTGGAATGAATTAAAGGAATTTTCTTACCAGTTCTGGAATAGACCATCCAAAGCCTTCTCCAGTTGGCTGTGGAAGGGAATTTAGGGCATCACTCTCAGACCAAAAAACATGCGGCATCGATTGGAATTTAGGAAGCTATTTTATTTGTGAGTGATGTTTTTATTGTTGGTGGTGGCCGAGGTGATGTGGGTTCTAGGTTCCACCTCTTTCCAATGATCTCACTGCCAACCCAAAGATACTCTTCACACAGGGAACCCTAGTTGGTCTTTGTAAAAGCAATTAGAGTACATCAGACCTTAAGACCTGTCTTCTCCACCAAATCTGGCTCTTGTATGGAGAAATGAATATTTGAAGTTTGAGGATGTGTATTTGACAACATCATATTCTGCCTTTAGAAAAATATACCCCATCATTTCCTCAAGCAGTGTAAAAGTGTGCCTCATGAACACAATTTGTCCACATGCACACATGCCCACATGCATGTACCCACACATATGCACATGCACTATACACAGGCATAACAAGCCTGAAAAGAACTTTAAAACTGCATGCAGTTTGTCTTCAACACATATTCCAAAAGGAATAAGAAACTGTGGTTGCTTTCATATGTGTGTTCTCAGAAGTGTTTCTTGTCTCTGCAGAGGATGGGGCTTCTTAAGTGATCCAGTATGTATTTGGGGAAATTGATGGGAGAATTAGGAACTATCAGGAGGAATGGAAGCTTCCATTTTGAATGTTATCCACATGGCTTCTCATGAACTATGTAGTCTTAGAAGTAGTAATGTTTTTTATTTTAATTTTCACTTGAGGGAATTTTGATTCTTTACAGTTGACCTGAGGCTTGCCTTGTGTCTTCTCTGTGGTAGGTTTTGGTGCCCACATCAGCTGACTTTAGTGGGAAATGGAACTACATGTAGGTGGCAAAGGCCACGGGCTAGGCCTTAGCAGAAGGCTACATTTTCTGACTTCATAGTGCTCATATCCTAATTGGAACATCAATAGAAAAAGCCATGATGCTAAGACAAAATCAATACTCTTAATGATCAAATGATTAAAAATAATTATCCTCCCAAAATTTAAAAAATGTCACCATTTAAATATAAAAATAAGTTGAGGAAAGTAGACACTAGGGCCAAATGTTCAAGGCACTTATTTCTAGTATAATACATTCTCTTCCCTGGTTAATTCCTGGATCCCACTATCAAATACCTGTCATTGGATAGCAGTCTTCATGGGATTGTTCTGCTTACTGACTCACGTGCATCAGTTTTAATAGCAGGTAATGACATGCAGAAAACACCTGTGATAACATGTCAACTTGGCTGCCTGTTTTGCTTATTTTCTTGATATGTATGATCATCATATTTTCCAAATCAAAAGTCAGAACACATGACTTATAATTCAAGAGTATTATTTGAGACTCTGGGAGGCCTTTTTAATACACTGAGAAACAGCCTCGAGATCTCTTGGCTAGGACAATAAGGAACCAACTGGGAAGTTTGGAAAGTTTGCTGGATGAGGGACAACTGATGAGTTCAGTTATATCCATGCTAAAGCTGGAGGAGTCTACAAGAGAACCAAGAAGAAATATTTTAGAGTTAGAAAAGTAAAGCTACAGTGCCATGAGGCAATATACGTCCAGAGATGGATGTTGAAACACATGAGAATAGTTGAGTTTGCCACACAAGAGACTGCAGCTCCGTTCATAACAGTGCTTCTGAGCACACAGAACTTTCCCCTGATCTTCCCTCACTGGTACCAGACCTCATCTGGCTCCACCTCACTAACAAAGTAGTTGCATTAAATATTATAATGTTTCTAATATATAAAGTTTATTCAAATTTTTAAAAACACCAAGATCCAAAATGATAGGCAAAAGATAGAAACAAATGATTCATGCTCAAAGATATCCAAACAGTAAACAAAACATACAGGAAAATATTCACCCTCACAGTAATGAAGAAATGAAAATTGAAGTAACCTCAAGATACCATGTTGCACCTTTAAAAATAACATAACAAATTATTGTGAGGTTGAAGTGAAATGAATAGATTCAACATAGTGTTAGCGGCATTGTAAACTGAATACAATCCTTTTGGTGAACTCTACTGCAATACCTATAAAGATATGCCTTCCCCTTGACCCATTCATCCAATTCCTGGATAGTTTTCATTAGTAGGAGATTGAGGTGGAGAAGATGGCCACACCAACATTTATTAAGTGCTGCCTTCTTACATAATAATAGTTATTACTATGATAATAATAACAGTATTTATTGGTCCTTTGCTGTATACTAGGGACTGTACTAAACATGTTATACATATACATTTAATTAATCCTCCCAATAACTTCATTAGGTACACACTTTAATTTTCACTTCACAGAAAAGGAAACAACTTACAAATATTGAGTATCTTATCCAAGTTAGGGGGCAAAGCCAAAATTTATACCCAGATCTATATCAAAACTATTTTACCCATCAGCATTGAATAATCCTCACAACCATCCCTTGGGGTGAGTGTTATTAATGACTTTGTATAGAAGGGAAACTGAAATTTAGCAAGGTTAAGGAACTCTACCCACGTCACCCAATTCATAAGTGGCAGCACTAGAATTTGAATCTAAATCTATCTGGCTCCAAAACCTATATTTTTCTACTATATCATATTTTTTCCTGAGGGGGGAGGGGGCAAGGGAAAGTGGTGGGGGGAAGGCAGAGACAAATGTATTTGAAAATAATTAATTAATTTTAAAAAAAGAAAACATATGTTCACACAAAAACTTGTACATCAATGTTCATAGCAGCATTATTCATAATAGACAGAATGTGGAAACAACCCAAATGTCCATCAGCTGATAACTAGATAAACAATAGTGGTACATCCATATAATGGAATATTACTTGGCAATAAAAAGGAGTGAAGTATTACGATACAAGCTACAACATGGATGGATCTTGAAAACAGTATGGTAGGTGAAGGAAGCGAGTCAGAAAAGGTCACATATTGTATGATTTCATTTGTATGCAAGGTCCAGAATAGGCACATCCGCAGAGCCAGAAAATAGATTGCTACCCAGTGTTCGGTTGGGGTGGTGGGCTGAGAATGGGGAATGAGTGTTGATGTGCACGGGATGATGAGAATGTTCGAAAATTAGTGGTGACAGTTGCACAACTCTGAGTTTATACTAAGTATTACTCAACTGTATGCTTTAAATAGGTAAATTTTATGACATGTAAATTATATCTGAATCAAGGTATTAAAAAAAAGAATTGAGTAGAGGAAAAACAAGACATATAGTCTCAGATATTTATTGCAGTATTACCTATAATAGCTAAATAATGGGAAATTTCTAATTGAAGTATCCAATAGAGCACAGTCATTACAAAGGGCAATTATGAAGAGATGATCATCTCTCACCCAGTGTGATATTTGAGTTCCAAATTTCTGGCTACCTAGGTTGCTGTAGAGATACCTCAAGATGTTCATGGATACAACTGTGGGGAAATGCAAATGTGACATTGTTCTGTGAAAAAGCAGAACACAAAATAGTGTCCATGTTATAACTGTACTTCACGACATCTGTGCATGTGTACAGCAGCTGGAAGAAAATGGGCAAAAATCTGTGTTTCTCCTGCAGATGAATCTCTAGGGCCTGATACAGCTTCTGACACAGGGCGAACATTCAGTAAATGTTTATGCAGGCGTGAGCTGGCCCTGACAGCGGGGAGAGCTGTCTGCTGCCCTCCAGCCCAGCAGTGCCTAGGTGGAAAGTCAGACCTGGCGGGAGAGGACACATGGCGGGCCAGGCAGGAATTAATCCTGGGCACATGCCACCTGAGGAAGCTCTGGGAAGGCAGACAAGGGGAAGCGGAGAGGATTTCATGTCTCAGAGGACAGGGGACACCAGGGACAGGCAAGGAGGTTCCATGTAATAGGCCTCCAATAAATACTTCAAGGAATTAATGACCTGCACTGGCTGAAGTCAGAGACTTCTGCAGTCCGGAGCCTCTCTCCCCATCTCTAGTTCTGTTTTCCCTTCCTCTATACCTCGAATATCCTTTACCCAACCAGACAAGATTTTTCCTCCCTTTGAACCATGCAACACACTGTAATCACCATGTTACGTTTATCTTA